CGCCTTGCAGCGGACCATTGCGCCAACGATGATAACTCGAAAGCAATTTAAGATTTGTCTACGAAACTTTGGGAAAATATTAAGCACTACTAGACCCATGCAATGAACTAAAAGATTTTAAATCAGATAAATAGTTTCTAAGTTCTGAATGAAACAATATGTGTGCCTGAAATTTAAACATGATCAGCATGAATTTTTGCTTATAGCACAAAAAGTATTTGAGCTAATGACTTCATTCTAGTTCATTGCATAGCTTTTGATGAAGTAAACATCCTCTGAAAATTTTAGCCAAATCTGTTAAATTGTTTTTGAGATATCATTGTTGGCAGATTACAAACCTTGCGAAAATCGTTTATTGGAGAAAATACAGTTTAAACTTTTCATACTATGTAATTGGCTACCAAAAACACTTCATGTCCCTAAAAGTCAATATAACTCTCCAGCACCATACTTTACTCCCTCCCCCTGTTTGTTTTTGTCACACTTTTGTTTTTTTCAGTCCTCTCATCACTTTACGCCTCTTTTTAACTTCGGGCGTGGATTTGTGTTCTGCATGCGAAACTCTCAACTTGTCTTCAAGTTGACAAGCCACTTCTGTATACTTGCCAGGAGTAATATCCAGTAGTTCACTGGAAAAAGTTCACTGATTGCCTCTTTTGCAAAATGTAGTCAGTGACTCAGGGTCTCAACTTCAAGAACTTTCCCGGTATCCATCGACATAACCGTAACACACCCGTTAGATGATGAATGTCCCCTTCGTTGCCAGGTACCGTCACATCAAATACCACAGTCTACAGAATTTGTTCCATCAACATCTTCATTTTGTTGCAAAACACACACTTCTTTTGCAGCTGCTTTCATGCTCTTCTTAGCAACTGTCTTTGCATGCTTAGCAATGACACGAGATGACTTCTTGAAAGACTTTGGTCTAGGTGGTGGTGTCATGTTCATGACAGAGCAAACCTTTGACGCACCAGCATGACCATTGCCAATCATTCGCATTCCATACACTAATCGTCAATTTACTTCAAAACTCTTTTGTTTTTCGTTTTGAAATCCAAGACAAATGCATCCATTTGCAGTGTTGGCAAGTGAGGTGGAGTTTAGAAGCACAATCTTTACGTTTGATATTATTTTCTTCCATTGTGTTGTATACATTCTGGGAAGCTGACAAATATGGAAAAAACATTTCCAATAAGTTCCATATCACAAAGCCTGAATCCATAAGTGCCTTGAGAACTTTTTGTTGAAGGTTTAGGGGTTCTTTTCTCACTGGAATTCTGCCGAACACGAGGCTGAAGCTTCCTGTAGGACACTGAAATTCCAGCTGGAATAGCGCCCACGTTGCCCTCATCAGCACTCAAAGAAACCTCGCTTTCCTCGTTATTTTCTTGCATTACTGGCTCGCCCTCTCCCTCATATTCAACACGAGAACGTTTAGTATGTCGATTGGCACAAAATTGGCGTTTTTTACGCTTCTGTGTAGCAAATTTTCCCATTTTATTTTCGCAAAATAACTCTCGATCACAATGTTAGAAAGAATGTTTTTTTTTCGTCTGCGCGTTTCGTAGGGGGCCTGGGGAAAAGCTTAGATTAGAGCCCAGTCTTCCCTAAATACCCCACGCTTTTTACCGAAAATTTTGTAAATAAATTCGCTTTTATAGGCAAAAAACAAATGGTAAACAAATCTGTTTCCATAGCAACGAGTGAACATCCAGTAAAAAACCCTTAAAATAAATACATTTTAGGCATAAAATCACGGAGAAAGCAACATAGGAGTATATTTTGATAACATAGGCATCATATAAAACCAAAAAAAATTTTTTAATTTTTTCAAAAATTTGAGAAAAATTTGAGGGTCATTCCACCTTAAAAGGGGCTAGTTTCGCCCCTGCATAACACAAATGCATATCTGAGAATATATTCATGCATGACTTGTTTTTCACTGCATTTAAATCTTCTTTTAAGATTCCATGTTTCTATACATGTCAAATTAATAACTTTCTGGCTTAAATTTCAGTCGCATTTCTCAGCCTCAAAATATTGTCAATTCTGGGATACATCGTGCTTATAGTATAACCTCTTTAGAGCTTGATGCAATTCATTCTCGTATTCTGACTATCGTTAGGCTACGTTTGTCAAACATTTTGGCAAATTTTATGGTGTGAAAATTGTTTCACTCCTTGGTTTTGGCGCAAAAATCAGAGCGGGCATGCAGTTGCGTTTCAGAGCGGACCGAATGTAAAAAACCGGATCGCTCTGAAAGGCTCTCCAGGCTCAGCCGATCAGATTGCCTTAAGTGAATTATCATTATTTTCCACTAATATATGCAGTTATACTTTTTCATATAGAAGTGTAAGAACAGTCTGTAGTTCTGATAAATTATGTTTCAAATTATTATAAATGCATGAATAAATGTATATTTACAGATTATTGATATTATTCTAAATTTACTGGAAGGGTTGAATCCGGGTTCTTCCATTATTTAGGGCATTAATTTAATGTATTGTACGACGTTTCGGCTACCTATATACGGCAGCCATTATCAAAATAATAATACTGTAATACGTCTTTGATAATGGTTGCCGTATATAGGTATAGCCGAAACGTCAGAATTGTTATATACGTATAGCTGTTGAAAACTGCGAAGGTATGTAATCGCTCATTCATTGAAAACAAGTAAATTTTAAGGTGATTTTTTAAATGATAATTTACAATTAACTTATGCAGTTAAAAGATGGGAAATGATAGTGACCATGTGTTAATGTTAGTTTATAGATTGTATGCATGCGCCTGCAGTCTAATTTTAAATTTTATATAACCAGACGAAAGTCTTCCCCTAAGTCTAAGAATAATGCCACATGTGAACTTATCTTTATACCAAAAAATATATGCATGCAGAACCCTCGCCTTATTGACAAAACCACTATATTTTCCGAAACATTAAGTATTTAAAGTAGTTGTCATGGTCACACGATATACAGGGTGTCTCAAAAAAACCCAAAATCATTGAAATAACGTATTGTTCGAATTTCAATGCCGTAACACAAAGGATTTTGACAGGGTGATTAATTTGTTTTAAAAAATTAAAATATCTTTGTAAAGTGAACGTTTGTTTGCTCATGGGAATTTAAAATGCTTCGTAAATTCGTGGGTTTAGTACTTTATGCCTGACATAACAAGTTTACGCTGAGTATTACCATTCATTATAGCAGTTATGTCAATCTTTTATGCACTCGTGGGATTAACTTAGTGCTACGGCATTGAATATCGAACAATACGTCAATTTCAATGATTTTGGGTTTTTTTGAGACACCCTGTATAATTTCATGAAGATTATTTTTACAATTGAAATTTGAAATATACCCTAAAAATATCACTTTTAATTACAAAGTTATCATTTTCCCAAACATATATATGTGAGGCATGTTATTATACGTAATATAAGCTTCAATTTAATGTAAAATTCAGCCACCAAACGCTTCGCAAAACGTTTTAAAATGCTCTTTGTAAAACTAAAATTAACCTTATCGATAAACTTCGAGTTTGAAATAAAACTTTAATATAATAAAATAAAGGGATAATCAATAAAGATACACTGAAATTATGTTGTGTCTTTTCTCATTATATGCAACGCCAACGATCAGTTTAATTTAAAGCAATTTATATAAAGCATACAATACATCAATATTTAGAACAAACTTACCTTCATTATTCATTAACGTGGGCGTCTTTGCCCCCTTTTCGTAATTCGTCCGCCTTTTTTCTCAAAAAGCTTTTGAAATTTACAAAATCTTGCAAAATGAAATATATTTGCAAGAAATCAAGAAATGTTTGCCGTTTGCTATTTCGCTGTCGTCTGTCGTCATGCAGTCGTTAGAATGCAAGTTTTAAATTGGACCAATCAGTGTTCGCTATTCATGACAGTCCGCTATATTTTGAGATCAGTGAGAATGACCACCCACACCTATGACCCATGACGCACATTGAATTATAAGTAAACTGGAACGATAAGTTCGCCGCCATCTTTGAAGTCACTTTTACTTCTTTCAAAGCATTTATATTTATCCTAGGGCACACTTAGACAACACAACGTTTATCTAAGGCATATAAAATAAGCAAATATTGTTTAACTGCCGAAATATGAAACTTGGCAAAAAAACGCGCGAGAATTTATGGTTTTTCTGAGTTTTTAGACTTTCCAGACAGAGTTCAGAGACAATTTTATACAATTTATGTAGAAAAATCTTAGATGCGGTTGATAATGGATGTTTAAAATTATGGATTAAATTAGTAAAAATACCTCGTGAAAAATTTTGTGTATTTATTTTCGTATACATACCTGCGAACAGGCTGTACTTGAGCGCCCGAAAATTGGCTTCACCCAAACATAGGAGTTATCGTTCCAGTTTACTTAAGCCTGGTTTCCATTAAATCGTAATTATCGCAAGAACCGCATCGCAAGCGTCGCAACGATTTTAAAAACGCAAAAATTTTAATAAAAACTGCGATTTATTGGAAACTTGAGTCACACTGATAAATAAGACTCTTAGTTCAATGCCCACGCACAGTAACCCACGACCGCGATCATTCATCATTGATGAACTTTAGACTTCGCTAACGCTTTCCTTTTCCCGGGGGTAAACAGCCGGACGGAATTAGTACCCTCGCCCCAGGCTTACGCCCGAACGGCGCTCCGCGCCGTTGGCTCGGGAATAATACGGAGCTTTAGATTTGACTACGACTACGAGTACGAGATTTGATCGCGTGCAAGAAAATTACCGTAGTCGTTTTCGTTTCCATTCAAATGTTGCTTTTATAGCAGTAAACAAACAACGAAAGAAAAAGTTTCATAAACTAAATCTTCTGCAGACTAAAATCCCCTACAAAACGTGTAAACAAGTCATAACATTAAAAACAGGCCGGATATTTAGTACTAATATATTATTTGCGCCGGATAAACGCTATATAAATGCTACAAATTATTTTCGGAAAACAAAAAAAAGCCAACCTTCTTTGTTTTTTTGAAAAGTCGTCGTGAGGACTACGAGATTTCTCCGCAATTTCGTACTCAGATGGGCGACGGCTACGACTTTTTCGCGTCAGTACGGGATGGCGTATAAAGCATACAGCATGCCGTTTCGCTTGACGAATCTCGTACTCGTAATCGTAGTCAAATCTAAAGGTCCAGTTACACGTGCGATTTTTTTCTCGCGCCGGCAACGCAATGGGTTAAATTTCATCGCGTTACTCGCGCGAGTGATGAGATTGAATGCTGTTCTTAGGTTTTGTAATCCAAGTGAGTATATATATACACTTGAAGACCTGACCAGGAACGACTGCGAAAAATGCAGCACAAGGTCCTCTGGTAGGAATTGAACCTACGGCCCTGCGATTCCGGTGCAGTGCTCTAACCAACTGAGCTACAGAGGCCAGCTGTTGAGCTGTAACCGTAAGTTCATGTATATATAGGTGATCGGGTGTGCGGGTTGTGATAAGGTGGACTTCAATGATCTGGTTTCTTGCACTTCACTTGGTGGTATTAATATTTGAATGCTGTTCTTAGGGTTTGTAATCCAAGTGAGTATATATTTACACTTTAAGACCTGACCAGGAACGACTGCGAAAAATGCAGCACAAGGTCCTCTGGTAGGAATTGAACCTACGGCCCTGCGATTCTGGTGCAGTGCTCTAACCAACTGAGCTACAGAGGCCAGCTGTTGAGCTGTAACCGTAAGTTCATGTATATATAGGTGATCGGGTGTGCGGGTTGTGATAAGGTGGACTTCAATGTTCTGGTTTCTTGCACTTCACTTGGTGGTATTAATATTTGAATGCTGTTCTTAGGGTTTGTAATCCAAGTGAGTATATATATACACTTTAAGACCTGACCAGGAACGACTGCGAAAAATGCAGCACAAGGTCCTCTGGTAGGAATTGACCCTACGGCCCTGCGATTCTGGTGCAGTGCTCTAACCAACTGAGCTACAGAGGCCAGCTGTTGAGCTGTAATCGCAGGGCCGTAGGTTCAATTCCTACCAGAGGACCTTGTGCTGCATTTTTCGCAGTCGTTCCTGGTCAGGTCTTAAAGTGTATATATATACTCACTTGGATTACAAACCCTAAGAACAGCATTCAAATATTAATACTACCAAGTGAAGTGCAAGAAACCAGATCATTGAAGTCCACCTAATCACAACCCGCACACCCGATCACCTATATATACATGAACTTACGGTTACAGCTCAACAGCTGGCCTCTGTAGCTCAGTTGGTTGGAGCACTGCACCGGAATCGCAGGGCCGTAGGTTCAATTCCTACCAGAGGACCTTGTGCTGCATTTTTCGCAGTCGTCCCTGGTCAGGTCTTAAAGTGTATATATATACTCACTTGGATTACAAACCCTAAGAACAGCATTCAAACATTAATACTACCAAGTGAAGTGCAAGAAACCAGATCATTGAAGTCCACTTTATCACAACCCGCACACCCGATCACCTATATATACATGAACTTACGGTTACAGCTCAACAGCTGGCCTGTGTAGCTCAGTTGGTTAGAGCACTGCACCGGAATCGCAGGGCCGTAGGTTCAATTCCTACCAGAGGACCTTGTGCTGCATTTTTCGCAGTCATTCCTGGTCAGGTCTTAAAAAGTGTATATATATACTCACTTGGATTACAAACCCTAAGAACAGCATTCAAATATTAATACTACCAAGTGAAGTGCAAGAAACCAGATCATTGAAGTCCACCTTATCACAACCCGCACACCCGATCACCTATATATACATGAACTTACGGTTACAGCTCAACAGCTGGCCTCTGTAGCTCAGTTGGTTAGAGCACTGCACCGGAATCGCAGGGTCGTAGGTTCAATTCCTACCAGAGGACCTTGTGCTGCATTTTTCGCAGTCGTTCCTGGTCAGGTCTTAAAGTGTATATATATACTCACTTGGATTACAAACCCTATAAGAACAGCATTCAAATATTAATACCACCAAGTGAAGTGCAAGAAACCAGATGAGTGATGAAATTGCCCGTCTAACATATCTGGCGCGTTAACGCAATTGCAACCCGATATTCTCGGCAATCGTTGCGGAAAGTTGAAACGCTTGAACATTCGGCAACGATTTCCGAAAATATCGAATTACCCAGGCATTGTTTGAGCAGGAAACGCATGGGCTATTTTAAGATAGCCAATGAAATTCGCTTCTGTACGGACAGCGTGCTGTGGCGCTGCCAAATATCGAAGCGTTAAATAACACATTTCTGCTGGCTTGATTGATTCACGCATTATTGTGTCTGGAAAGCGTTTCAGATAGATTATCAACTATCTTTTTGAAATGATCGAAATCCATTCGCATAAATTTTTCAAATCCTGGTGTGTCGTGGGCAGCCAGATCGGGAAGAAGCTGACCGAAATAACCTTTGTTTTTTCTCTCTAGAAGACAGTGCCGGCTCCAAATACGTTTCTTTTCTTTAACCTCCTCGTCATCTTCTTCCAGCAAAAGCATTGCAGCTATGACCACAAGTTCTTTCTTCGACGCCATGTTGTTGTCAGTGACGTTGGTGCCCGGTTTTTTCATGCAAATAGTTGCGACGCGGCTAAGCTATCATTGCTCGTGTCACCACTTCACTCGCGCGAGTAACGCAATGAAATTTAACCCGTTGCAAAGGCGTTGCGTTGCAGGCGCGAGAAAAAATCGCACGTGTAACTGGACCTTAAAGCTCCCTAATTATGTCAACTGCTCCAATTAGCTTCTCACGCCGCCATTTTGGATGGCTTTTCAGCCGAAGTCTGCGAGACAAGTCCACATAACAGCGACTTTTTATAATATTTTGGACGAATGATGGTGAATTTGCTTTGTAAATGGTTAGTTTGTTTTGAAAAATTGCTTTTCACATTGTTTTAATTAATTGCCTGCATTGGTTAACGAGAATTAGATGCCACCCAAAAATGGCGGATATTCGTCATCGTGAGAAAGGCTAATTCCACATGTGACACAATATTATAACTTTACACGTGAAATTACTTTGTACGCATGAACTTTTATGAATGAACTTGAATGTAAATGTCCTGAATGAACACATAATTATATGTATCTGAAGTAATATTTCAAATCCGACTATGAGGACTGGACTAGATTTCAAGTCTGCGCAATTTGATATGACCTCTCATACGAATTAATCACTACGTAATTAATTTTGATCCAAAGCAAGGACTGAATTAATTTTGATTCCGAGTCCTAGGACAGTCACAGGATCAATATACTTCTCAGGTATCCTGTATTAGCATGTGAGCAAAATATAGCAATATGGTTGGCTAATTTACTCATGAGTTTGAGCTTATAAAATATCATAGCAATAAAATATGAGTTGATTTCCTCAATCGCCTGGTGAAGGTTTTGTAATAAAATCCAATTCTTGCGAAATTGATAGATTAAACATTGCAACTTGAACCTATGATTATCATTTGTCTTTTCTAACCTTTACTTTCCTATGAGAAATTCTCAAATTTCTCTGTTTTCTCTGAAACATTCTATATTACTGGCTGAATTTTGCATAGGAATTAGGAAATGAGCATTTTCACACGTGGATTACACGCACGCATGATCACACATGAATATATATGAGTAAACACCCAAGATACAGTAACTACAGACGGTATACGTTTCTACGACCCAAGACGTACGAGAAAGTAAACCAATTAGGTTTCTTTGATCAATGGACCGAAGACAGGCAGAATTCCCATGGAGGAGATTCTTGTCCAACATTTGGTCTATATGTCCAACATTAGGTTGAATTTGGAATTGGAGGAATGGAGGAAGGTCTTTTCTGTTGTATTATGTGAAGTAAATAAAGTATAAACAGTATAACAAACATTGTGAATTGTATCGGCTGGAAAATCTTGGAAACAGAACCTCATTATCAAATAATGGAGTAGATACTGCGACTGAGAGGTTGACTCCCGCCCTCCTAATTACGCCGTGAATTCGTTGTAACTAACTTCATTTAGGAAAAAAGGAATTAGGATTGGTGCGAAATAGTTGGTGGTTGTACAGCGAGAGTTGAACCTATAGCAATATACAGCTACCTGGGTTGGGATATGAGACAGGAGATACCTATTATTATTCGAACCTCATTGAATATTCATTCAGGGACGTGCTAGGGTCTTCAAAAGGACAACGAATGAGCAACGTCTGATGGGGTCCATGCAGGCCCAGTTATAGACTACATGATACATATGATTTGATAAGTTAATTTAAAGCAATTTATATGATTTATTCTCACACAATAAATGGGAATCAAGTATAAATGGGAATCTAATAAAGATAGCATTCGCCATGGTTTCGGTCAGCGTAAAACTTGCAGAAAGGTTCAAGGTTTGCTTGCCCCAAAATAACCAGCGATTCGATGCTTAGAAATTTCGATTTTTAAAATTAAATTCTAATGTTTTTATCTTTTCCAAATTTTATGGGCCATAATGGCAGGGGCACACAATAAGTTATCGTCGCCTCCAGTGGCGTTAGGCTCATTGGGTAGGGCTGGGTTAATTCAAAAACTAAAGGCCCCCGACATTTAGGGGCTCCCATCAGCAACGGCCTATCGCCCAGAAAAATTAGAGAACGTCAATATGCAGGTTAAGAATCAATGGGAAAATGCAAAATTAGTATTGCTAAATAATAAAGCCTCCATTGACAAGGGTAGCTGATTTATCCATCTCAAAAAAACAAAAGTTATTCTTATTAGTTGTTACATGTGTTGGAGACTGTTATTGTTTAGGCAGGGAATTTTCCAGAACGTTCTAAAATATTCAATAAGCTAACAGTAAATAGGCTACATCATTTGCATTTTGTACGAAGTTGTGAATTTTTAAAGCCTGTGGCCCAGAATTTAGAAGTATAAAACGCAAAAGGATATAGTGTATACTGGAATTTCAGATACATTTCCACGACCTCTCGGAAGTTTAATTAAACGATTTCAAACTTTTTGCGTATGTGTAATATTTGGGTCATTCTGAGAAGAAATGTAGTGTATCTTTATAGTAAAAAATTCCATCTTGAACAACTTTTGCATGAATTTTTGGTACAAGAAACAAAGGAAAACTAATTTGCAATTCACCTAAGTCAATCATGTTCGGAGACTTTGACAGCAAAAAGTCGATCAAGATGGGATTTTTTAGTATTATAAAGATAAAGATATATTACATGTCTTCTTCGAATGACCCAAATATTACACATACCAAAAATCATATTAGGGGTTAGTCGCACTTTAAATTAAGGATCTGTATCGCTAAAAATTTTTACACCATTACCAAACCAAATGATGTGTGTATCTTCCCCTACTGTCTGCTACACTTAAAGTATATCATAAGCCACAATCTCGAACGGTCGTTACCAGTGTAGGTATAGCGCCGATCAGGGACGCCGGAACTGGGGGGGCAGGGGGGGGGCATCTGCCCCCCTGCCTTTTGCTAGGGGGGGGCAGGGGGGGGGCAGAAGTGCCCTTTTAGTTGTAAAATTCTACGTGATAAATTACATTTCCAACGATGCTTTTTGTAGGAAAATCATGAGATTCAGGCAATTTATAGTTTATATTTGACTTTTGGTATGTCCGGAAAAAAATTTTGACCCCTAAAATGGTACACTGACCGAAATTTGGGGGTGGGAGGTCGCTCAAAACTTTCCATTGAAAAAACATTTTTCGGTACATTTTGAAGTTTTGCTCTATATAGATGCCCTTGGTGTGCGTCCGCCAC